GGATACGTACTGGATCCGGGTGACTGCAGTGACCATCTGATCTGGATACAGACTGGATCTGGTGGCTAAGGTGACCTCGGAATAAGAGAGAAAACAGACTAATATTAGCATAGATGCCATTCTTCTAGCGATGTAGCAAGTACATCGGCTGTTATGGAAAGTAAGCAGTAAGCATATCAATAAGCAGTTTCTTCCATGACAGTAAAGACAATTAAAACATGCGCGTGTGGGGGGATATGATCATTGTGTCCATCACAGCGACAGTAAACACTGGAATGACATATGAACAGCAACTGAAGGTCATTAGTGAACGACATAGTCACAATCAGCTGTTATATAACCCTAAGCGTGCCACTCTCAGCAGACTCACACACGCAGGATAACCCACACATGAGCTCTGCAGAGGGAGTGAGACAGCACACACAAGCTACAGGAAAATGAATGGGAGAGAGATATAAAATATGAAGCAGGAAAAGGATTACGGAGGAAAACTGCTAGAGCATCAGGAGAAGCAGAATTATAGTCATGTCTGTGAGCTCTGATGTGTTTCCTTTCAGAGATGTAGCACATATTTGTGAATGGGAGAATTTTGAATGCTAGAAATTACAGCGTGGTAGAACTTTGTAGTTGTTATGAATGGAAGTCTTGTCATACAATCTAGAGTTTGTTCACTCTTGAACATGCATGACATTAGCTGGACCAGATCACAGTTTTTATGTGATTTGTGCCAAAGATTTTTATAAAACCATTATTACTAGATGCCGATATTGTTATTGTTGTTGCCGATTAATCGGCATGATAATCGATTGCTTTTACGGGTTGCATCCAACCTAGTTATCATTATTGGTATAATCCACTATTGGTTGACCTCTAATTATTATGCAATTTTATTACAGATTTGATATATTTATTGAACTGTATCTTGTACTGAATCTTGAGCAAAATTTTGGGAGGTTTTGTTGATTCTCCATTTAACATAAGAGCTGTATCCGCTTGACTGGAACGTTTACAAACTGAAAAGAACATGTATCTTTTCAGTTCACGCATTCCCTGGGAATTGAACCCATGACTTTGGCATTGTCCTTCTCTACTGCTTGAGCTACAGGATGTAATAAGATACCTGATAACAACAATAGGTCTTCTGAAGTAAGACTTGGCATGACATGTCTAAAGCCAACTTTTAAAAAAAAATCGAACCCAAGTTTGAATTGAATTGAACATGATTGAGATTTAAGCGTTTCAGAGGACAAGCTTTTCTGTGCGTAATGACTTAAATATTGGACTGTTCATCACACAAAGCTATCGCCTCTTGAAATATAGAGTCCTATGGGCTGCATTTACAATGCTTTTCTGTCCTTTTTGGAGTTTCACATTGCAAATCACCACTATCCAAAATGACTTACATTTCTTGGAAGTTGAACCCATGATCTTGCTGTTACGAGCACCATTATCTATCAGTTAGGCTACAGATATTATTGATGGGAGTGTGTGTGGAACAGACGCTGAGTTTGACCCTCTGCTGACATCAATTCCCACGTATGACTGAGAGTCTATTTTAAGTGTGTGTGTGTTTATCCCGTGTGTCCCGGGAGTCTTATAGCTCTGACCCATTTAACACAGCATTACCAGTCATAGCCGAGTAGTTGTGCTGACATCACAGACATT